TACTGAGGAAGGAAACATTGGTGACGGGCCTATAGTTGCCAATATCGTTCGATGCCAAATTTAGTTTCTTCCTAATGGGCTTAATGAGTGTCTCCTTGAGGGCAAGAGGAACCTTGCCCTCCTGGAAAGACCCATTAATCATTACTGTGGCCCATTCAGTTGTTATAAGCCTGACTGTTTTGATTAGCCAGACCGGACAAGGGTTAAGGTAGGAGGAGGAGGCCCAACAGCCAACAAGCGCTTTGTCCACCATATCTGGTGTCACAGGCTGAAAGGTTTCAAGCCTCACCGGGCAAGGCAGAGCGCTGGACATCTCTGCTCGATCCAGTGTATTTAAAAAAGGAGAGAGGTCCCAGCGGATGGCCTCCACTTTAGATTTTAAAAATGCTGCAAATTGGTCAGGTGAGATATTAGTAGGAGGTCCATCACCTGTCCTAGACCAATTCCAGATAGATCGCGAACTATACGGAAGAGTTCCGCCGGCTGATTTGAAGCTTCGCTTATTCAGTTAGCGAAGTGTGATTGTCTAGCAGCCCTGACCTTAGCAAGGTAGTGGTTAGTCGCGATCCTGACAGCTTTCTTATTATAATCCGTTGGTTCATCTCTCCAATTGCACTCTAGCCGTCTTCTATTTCGATTCATAGCTCGCAGCTCCTGGTTAAACCAGGACCCTGGCCAAGCTCTGCGCCAGAGAGGGCGTTTAGGAGTGATCGTGTCTACAACCCTAGTGGTGGCAGCAAGCCAGCCATCAACCAGAGCCTCGACAGGAGCGCCAGACAGATCAGCGGGAATCCCTCTCATGGTATCCTGGAAGCGTAAAGGATCCATTAACCTTTGAGGGTGGACCATTACAATAGGTCCATGGTCCCTGCGGGGAGAGCCACTGAGGTTACATTTTATTAGGTGGTGATCTGACCATGACAAGGAAACTGAAACAAGGTCAATAGCCATCAGACCACACTTGCTCCGCTCAGTGGGGAACACCAGGTCTAGCATATGACCGCCCATGTGTGGGGGGCCGCCATGACAAGGAAACTGAAACAAGGTCAGTAGCCATCAGACCACACCTGCTCAACTCAGTGGAGGTCTAGCATATGACTGCCCACATGTGGGGGGCCATTAACATGTTACGACATGTCCAAGAAAGCCATGGTTTCCAAGAACTCAAGAGCTGGACCAGAAATCTCCGCCTCCACATGGATGTTGAAGTCACTCAGGAGCAGAAGTCTCCAGCTGTGCCATAGAGACAAAGTCTGCCAGCTCTGGTAAGGAAATGGTTGGGTCGCGGGGAGCATGATAACCCAGCAAAATCCCAATACCATCCCTGGCCCCAATCAACACGTGGAGGGCCTCCAGACCCAGCTTCACTACTGCTGGTGGTGAATTATTACAAATGCTAGTGCCTACCTTTTAGAAATTTTCTTGTGTGTAGACATACTTGATGTACTCTGAAAAACATTCAAAACTTTAATCAGAAAAAGCAAACTTCAATATTAAGCAAACAACGCTATAATCTGATACTTGTATGTTGTTGTCATTTAGTCGTTTAGTCGTGTCCGACTCTTCGTGACCCCATGGACTAGAGCAAACCAGGCCCTCCTGTCTTCCACTGCCCCCTTCACGGATTGCTGCCTTGTTGTGGCGAAGGGGCTTCAGTAATTCAGAGAAGCTATGGGCTATGCCGTGCAGGGCCACCCAAGACGGACCGGTCATAGTGTAGAGTTCCGATTAAACACAATCCACCTGGAGCAGGAACTGGCAAGCCACTCCAGTATCTTTGCCAAGAAAACCCCAAGAACAGAAACAAAAGGCTAAAAGATACTTGTATAGTAAGTTTTATTATGCAATTGTAGACCTGATTATACAAAAATAAGTACAGAGAATAAATATACAGTATAGTATAAAATCTTGCTATAGCGTTTTGCGAATTCTCATAGCTGAAAATAAAAACTTGTATAGAATGTTACCTATTAATTAACTAATTAGGGACTTGCTAAATACTTATTACATGTGTTTTGTTGTATTACCTTCATACAAGGCACATTACATGTAAATATTCAGATTAGCTGTAATATAGAAAGGACTACAGAAATTAACCAATAAATGCTGAATTTGTGTCAGCCGGCAGGTGTAATAAACATAGATGAAGAGCTTGACTTTTTTTCTTTCATAGATCTGCATCTTAATATCTTTATAATAACCTGTTATTATTGCAAGCAATTCATTTCTGTCTTCAATTTGTTACTATAATTTTATGGGTTTTTTCTTAATAAGCCATAGCCTGAAAAAACAAAAACTACAAATGCTACGGCAGCTGCTACTGCCACCACCACTACTACTACTAATAAAAATGCTAAATGATTCCAACTTATGGTGACCATTTCCAGAGCTTTCTAGGTACAGAGTACTCGGACATTTTACCATTTCCTTCTTCTGGGGATGCCCCGGGGTCATATAGTTTGTCCAAAACTATTACAATAACTGAACATATTTACTATTAATTAACTAATTAGGGACTTGCTAAATACTTATTACATGTGTTTTGTTGTATTACCGTCATACAAGGCGCATTACATGTAAATATTCAGATTAGCTGTAATATAGAAAGGACTACAGAAATTAACCAATAAATGCTGAATTTCTGTCAGCCGGCTGGTGTAATAAACATAGATGAAGAGCTTGCCTTTTTTTCTTTCATAGATCTGCATCTTAATATCTTTATAATAACCTGTTATTATTGCAAGCAATTCATTTCTGTCTTCAATTTGTTACTATAATTTTATGGGTTTTTTCTTATTAAGCCATAGCCTGAAAAAACAAAAACTACAAATGCTACGGCAGCTGCTACTGCCACCACCACCACCACTACTAATAAAAACGCTAAATGATTCCAACTTATGGTGACCATTTTCAGAGCTTTCTAGGTACAGAGTACTCGGACATTTTACCATTTCCTTCTTCTGGGGATGCCCCGGGGTCATATAGTTTGTCCAAAACTATTACAATAACTGAACATATTTAGAAACCCCTATTCTACAAGATTAATAATTGCAAAATATTGTGGGCTTTTTATTAGCAATCTGACTGCGTGTGAATTCCATATGGAAAAAACCTTAAGCCATCCTCTTAAGTATCTTAAACCATATCAGGCCTTCCCATTAGTTCACTACTATACTTGTCTAGGACCCAAGAGCCAGTGAGTATAACAGACGGAGGCTTGGGTTCAAATCCCCATGCAGCAATGGAAACTCACAGGGGTGAGCTCTGTACTGGTAAACCCACTCCTTAAATACCTCACATACCTTCCAAACCCTATTGGGGTCACTATAAGTCAAATATGACTTGACAGCACATGACGAACAAGGACACAAAGGCCCAGTTTGTATATACTGTTTGAAAAGCTGAGATATTTTGCAGTTTCCCAATTCCCACCCTTTGTGGTGCCCCTGAAAAGAACAGGACTGCTAAAACCAGTTTGAAGTTAGTTCAGTATTATGGCTTCTTCCAAAGTTCTAACCATATATTTTTGGTTTGAACAAAATTAGGAAATACAGTGGTGCCTCGCTTAGCGACTGCCTCGTTTAACGATGTATTCGCTTAGCGATGAGGTTTTTGGAGCGATCTTGCCCTCCGTTTAGCGATGTTTCCAATGGGGGAATTTCGCATAGCGATGTTCGGGACCTTGCTTCGCTTAGTGATGACAGTTTAGGTCCCCTGTTTCGCTTAGTGATGTTTTTGACAGCTCCGTTATCGCTATTTTTAAAAGATGTTAAATTGTTTAAAAAGGGTTTAGAGGGCTTGAAATCGTTAGTGTATTTAATAAACCCTTTGTTAACCAAATTTGGCTTCGTTCTGACTCTTTTTTGGATTTTTGGTGATTTTTTCCTCCCCCACTGAAATGCATTGAAAAGGTTTCAATGCATTCCAATGGGAGAACCGCGTTTCACTTAGCAATGTTTCCTATGGCGATTTTCGCTTAAGGACGGCAATCCGTTCCCATTGGAACAGATTATCCGGTTTTCAATGCATCTCTATGGGAAAATGCGTTTTGCTTAGCGATGTTTTCTCATAGCGATGAATTTTTTGGAACCAATTATAATCGTTAAGCGAGGCACCACTGTATAGTTAATTACAGCCTTCCTGGCTTAAATATTGATACCAAGAACAACCATATATTTTTGGTTTGAACAAAATTAGGAAATATAGTTAATTACAGCCTTCCTAGCTTAAATATTGATACCAAGAAGGGGAGAGTGAGAAGATTCTTACACAGGAAGAAGGTTCATTCATACTTGGTTTTATTGAGACAAAACGGAATGCAGTCACAGGCACTTACTTTTGAGCTACAGGAATCCAATCCCGGAGAAATAACTGATGCTTGAATATTACCTATAAGAAAGAAAGCCACATGTGATAGATTTTTAAGTGATACACTAATACTGTATGGCATGACTAAAAGTGTATCTGTCTATCAATAGATCAAAATCCTGTCATCATCGGTGGCAAAAAGCCACTGACTGAAGACTTTCTTTGCTGATTTTTGGTATGCAAGCAATTTTTACTGAAAGCAACGAAACAATGAAGTTGATTGATTACAATGCTTTATGATAGTATAGTTTTGAACACTTGTCTCCCTCTTCTTCTCTTCATTCCCTTCACAATTCCTCTCCTTCCTTTTTCCTTGTGTTATAGCAAAATGGACTTGTGGAGTCAGATCTAAGTTTCTGAGGAGGTGGAACCAGGCATAGTATGGATCACACAGAATAATGCTGTTCAGAGGCTTCAAAGCCTTCCACCTATATAATATTACTTAATCCTTATAGAATCCCTGCAAGATGGAGTAGTTTTATTGTCAACATCTTACAGAACGGGGACTGAGGCTAGGAGAGAGTGGCTGCTAGTCTAATGTCCTTTAAAGCAGAGGGGTGTCTCGCCTTCCCCAACCAGTGCACTGCTAGTCTAATGTCCTTTAAAGCAGAGGTCCCCAACCCCTCATCCGCGGCCTGCTGCCAGTCCGTGGTCTGAGTCGGAC